AGTCTCATCAGAGGGAAGCCCTCCGAGCAGTTTCCCAATCCCAGCCGACACACCAACCCCAATGTCACAGCGACATTCACCTCCACCAAGCGTCGCAGCCTTACAATTCCCTGCGCCCACCAAAAAAAAATCAAAAATACCAAACACATACCAAAACTAAAAAAAATACAAAACATACAAACAATACTAAACATACCAAACATATCAAAAATACAAGAAAAACACATAAATACAACACATACAAAATAAATACAAAAAATACAAAAAATACCAATCCTCTGGAGACATATAGGCCACCTGACTAGTATTTCCTCTAGGTCTTTTGTATTTTTGGTATTTCTTTGGTATTTTTGATATTTTTCGGTATTTTTGGTATTTGGAGGGAAGTTCCTCTACAGGATTGGTATTTTTTTGTATTTGAGGGGGGGGGTACTGTTTTTCTTGTTGCTCTTTTGGAGTTGCTCTCCTGATATCATATGTGGCTAAGTATGGTCTAAACGGCCTAAGTCCGGCTACGGGGCAACATACTTACATAGGTGGTACTTGGTAACGTTGCAGTGTACTTGCTAAGGTTAGCTAAGTTTTGATATTTGCTAAGTGCACGCTAGGTTTTGCTAAGTTTGCTAACGTTTGCTAAGTTTTTGTATATTCAATTGTGAAAGTGTTATGGTTGGTTGTTTTGTTGTTTGAACTCGATTGTTGATTCAATTGTTGAATGAAATCAGTTGGTTAGATGTGGTGCGGTTGAAGGAAGGTTGGCTTGGCGTTGATTTGGATGTAATGTGTTCTTCTTCTTTGTTTCGTTTAATTGGATTGAAGTTGATTAGGCTGAATTTGCTTTGTTTTTTGGATTGGACTTGATTGGATATGACTGGATTAGATTGAACCGGACTGGATTTGTTGATAGCTAAGGGAAAAGTAACAAAGACATGTACCACAAGCGCGTCAAATACAATATGTGTTTCTTTTCCCAATCAAACCTGCATTCAACTCTCTTTCCCTCTCTCTGAGTTCAATAGTGTCATATTTCAATCAAACTGAGCCCAACCAAAGACAATATTTCAAAAACAAATCCGACCCAGTGCAGCTCAAGAAATCCAATCCAATCAAATCCAACCCAATCAAGAGAGCCCAAAACCAATACGAAGGATATCGAAATCCAGTCAGTGCCATGCCATGTGTATTAATTAATGATGATCCAATGGTCTGATTTGGTTGGAGCGTAGATTTTAACTTAGGGTTTCCTGGGTTTGATTAGAGTTTATGGCCGCATCTAATTCTTGATTTGAATTCCTGTTTCTTAACCGTTATTGATCGTTTTTGTATATTGCTAGTGGCAGTGAACCAATTCTATCCTTATTTAACCGGTCTTGCCTTCATTCTTATCTGCAAGCGTTCACTTATAATACACTATCTAAAGATATCTAAAGTGAGTTCATGTTTTGAGTGTTCTTCTTGTATAGTTTGGTGTGGAACTAAAACACAAAAAGACACCAAAAGCAACCGCGCAAAAAATACATTTTCTGACATCCCCGACAGTTCATGCAATTTTGAACGCACTTTTCTGATTTCCAAAATCATAACATTATGAGTACATTAAATTATGAACTTATGCTCTCTTAAAAACCGGGATATTACAAGCTAAAAGGCTTCATATATTAAAGATATGGCTTCTTTATATGTACAGTAGAGAAATCCAATATGAAACCATAAATTGAGTATATAGTTCGATTGAAATATTAAATCTACTATTTTGATTAGTATTAAATACATTTTTGTATATTTTTATGAGTTTATAAAACTGTATGCATTCATAAAACATACTTATATTTTTGGGTGTAATCAAAATATTTTTTGTTTTATTTATGAGTTCAGGGAGTCAGAGAACTTCAGACAATTAATGAACTCATTTTAACAAATTTAATCAGTTCAAACATTTTATAATGAACTACACTCAAACACAGAAGACTACCCAGAGCAGCTCATGGAAGACAAGTGAAAGATTTCAGACAAACGCACTTTTTACTCCTTCAACATTTTGTACGCAGTCAATAAGAGCAGCTCATGGAAGACAATTTAAATATTTCAAACAGATGCATCTTTTAAAACATTTTATATATTTCAGGGGGCAGTCAATACTATGTTTTAAAAAAGTAAAGCAAAGTTGAGCATTCATTCATTGAAGACGCGCTGGAAAAAAAAATGTCTCATAGAATAGACAGCAGCACTGTGAGCGTATGCATTTCATGTGGCAAAGTTTCTCTACTGGACACCTAAAAATAGCGGATTTTACTGGAAAATACACACGCTCACAGCGCTGCCCTCGCAAATTCAACTTTGATACCTCCAACAAGCACAAAGTACTGCGCATGCCACGAGAAGTGACGGTATGACATGTTCAATCACGCTCATGTCTATTCATGTCTTCAGCAAAATTTGCACCACGCCACACGCTTGGAATGATTCCAACACGTTCTGAGCACGCAAAATCGGACTTGTCACAAAGCACAGCTTCGAGCACAGCCACATCCAACGTTACATTTCCGATAATTCCACACGACCCCTCGCTATTTCACACGAATCCGACACGTCATGCTTCGCCCTACCGCGAACGCTTGTGATTGGTTGCGGTCGCTACGACAAGGAGTCGCGAACAAGAGCTTACCCCCGGACCCCCAGAGTTAAACGAAAATCCTTCACTACGCCCTCAGGAAAAAAAGGATCGAACAAAATGTTTCAAGGTCCACAACAAAACACACCATAAACGCAAACAGCAATAAAAAGCAATTATTAAATCCGATTGATTATTCGAGTCATAACAATTCACGTATGCTCTTGTTGTTTTTAATGTTCGAATTAATTGAGGATCAAGTCGGAGACTGAACCGTGAGCCGCGATAGTTCCTCTCTGACAGGAGGTTGCGTGCGTGGCAGTCAGCAACGATGGCCTGGCCTTGCCACATTGCCATTGGTTACTGCGAGCTGACCCCGATGTCGTCCTTTGTGCAGTGAAGAGCCCCTCGGTTTGTGTTGAATTTTTAGATGAGTTTCGGCTTGTACCAAGAGTCAGATATTGTTCAAAGAACCAGAAAAACAACAACCCAACTTACATGTGTAACATGCAAACACGACACACACACACACACTGCCCATACACTGCGCAACAAAATTGAAAAAAAAACAACAACCTCACGCACAAACTTTTAGGTGACAAACGCTGGCCAAAACAAGGTGCTCAGCGCGTGGTTGAACGCAACTGCACTGCAGAGTTGCCACACCACGTGCCAAGGGCCTCGGCTCTTGAATTTACATCTTATTAAACACATTAAAAAACATGGACGAATAAAGTGACTTCTCGAACGACAGATCTTGGAGACTTGCTGCTGCTGTAATTAAGTCCACTGCTATGCCTTTCTGGGTGTTGCTTTCTGGTCGGCTTTGATGGTGTTTGAGGCCACGGTTCTGCGTTGTCCTACGCCGACCCGAAGCTTCGCGGGGAGCCGGCTGTGGCCTGCGCAGCCGTGGCCGCACGTGGGGAGGCTTTGCGCTACGTTGCGCCAGAGCTGCTGAAGGATCGACGCCTGGTGCTCTTGGCAGCCAGGAGAAGAAGTGCGCAAACAGAGATGAACAAGCTGTTTTAAAAACACAGAAGACAATTGCTTATCTTCAACGACTCATGTAAGACACCTCGAACGTGGCAGCCAGAGAGAGGACGTGGAGTGGCGCGTTGTCTCTTGCCGCGCCCGAATTGCGGGCAGATCAGGAGATGTGGACGTTGCCGGTGGAAAGTTGCTCAAACGATACAAACTCAATTGTTTGCTATATGTTGCCATGAATCAATTGTGGCACTTGCAATCGTTGCTGACATGACCGGAGATTACCGAGAAGGTGCAGCGCTATTTTGAGGACTTCGTTTGTTGCGCTATGCAGATGCACTTCTCAAAGACACATGGAGTGGCGCCCACTGATGAAGGTGCGCGCAAGAACAAAAGAAGTGGGTGAGCCGCTGGGAGAAAGAATGCTTGTCTGAAGAATCATGTTGCGTAAAGGTTTAGTATCATTCACTAAGCCCTGCCTAGTTGCATGTGGCAATAAGAAAGCATTCTTGCTGCAAGTTATACCACCTGTTGATCGGTGAATCGTGCGAACCCCACACACTTGATCACATGTTTGTTTTGACTTTGGCGCAGATTGGAGTGGATTGAGCCTTTGAGATCTTGTACACAGGCGCTGGCATTTGCTGTGTAGAAGACGTGACCACACGCGTGCACTCACCAACATCGAAGCGGAGAGAGAGTCTTTTTAAGAGGGATTCCCATCAAGATCAATTCCAGATTGGACAGATCAAAACCGCCGCTTTGAGCCAATCGAAGGCTGGATGAGATTGTTTGTTTGATCCTTTTTGTAGGTAAGCAAATCGCGGAAGTGAAGGGCCAAAGTTAGCACTATCCCGATTGCTTAGCGTGTCAATTGCAAGAACCTCTTCATTTTTGTTTGCCTTGTGCCTCAAAGCCATCGCATCAACAAGGATACGGTATGAACATTTGCACAGGTGGAGCACCAACCTAAGAAGGGAACAACTTGATTTTCTGGTTTCTGAGATCCCAAAATCACCATGTGTTCTATCCTTGCGACTGAGCGACCAATTGCATTGTTGGGATACAATTAGAATGGTGTGGTTTGTATTCTTGTGGCTCATCCATCTTGCAATTGCGCGCTTTCACTGGGCTTTGTCGAAACTGGCGATGCCTCATCATTCTTCTCATCAAAAAAGGGGTCCACTCCAAATTCTTGCACACAACATGAATCACGGATTGAAATAAACTATATACAATTGAATGGGTGATTCGGCCTCCTAGTTCCTGTGAAACACTCAGTGCATTGTCCTACCGTAGGTCTACCGTAGGACTTAATTAGTGGCCGGATGTCCTTGGCGAAGAGACTCAAGATAGATGTGCTGCATCTCAAGATCGCTTGGACTCTGTCCGGATCTCACATGTTGGCTCAAGGTGAGATGATTCGTCCCGACTTGTTTGAAGGGGACACTTCCAAAGTTGAAGACTCCACAGACGAGTGAGCTGTCGTTGATCGCTCTGGTGCTTGACCATCATGGCGCCAGAGCTGGAAGCTGCACAGAACCCAGTCGATCCACCAAGAAACTTCGAAGCCGGAGTCTGGAGTTTATCTCGTGTGCTGAGGATATCACCAACAGCCTTTTCGAGGACTGCCTTCCCTTTGTGGGGCAAGTTTAGGTATGTGGAGAAAGCAGTGTTTGTTTGGACACCTGGAACCAGGATGCTCGAACATTGTCGCAGATGAAGCGAAGCCGCATCGATTTGAACCGAAGGCCTAGTTGGATCCATCCAGCTGCTCCTAGTTGGATCCGTCCAGCTGTACACGTCCGTATTTTTCGACAAAACGACAGGTATGTCTTCTTGTGTCCCACTGCTCTCAGCAAGCACTTCGAGGCTGGTTCAAAGAAGTGAAGACAGACGGGCCGCTAGAGAAGAAAGAAAAGGACGAAAGGTCTAATGGACGCTACGTTCGGGGCTCCTGGCCTTACTAGGAACAAGAAGCTACTAGGAGCAAGGGCATCGCTACCAGTAGCAAGAAGCTACTAGGTGGAGGCCATTGCTGCTAGTAGCAAGGACGCTACACAAACAAAAGTGTCAGGCCTTACCATTGCCGGCCAAAGAGGCGGCCCTCTTGGTCTTCCGTTGCAACCGGAATTTCGCTCCTTGGCAGGAACTGACAGGAACAGCGGAACTGTAGTGTGCTGTATAGCCTAATCAGTTGTATCCTTGCGAAGTGAGGAAACGTTGAGCTCTTGCTTTCCCAATTTCAATTGGACCTTCGGAGGTGTTCAAAGATCCGCCCGCGGTCACGATCTTAGTGTTTCACCTTCAGCACCTCATGCCTGCATCCCAAGTCCCAAGCACTCATTCCATTTTGTTGTTGCTGTTATGGTTGTTGATTCTGCTTGAGATCTCAAACCAGAATTCACGTTGGCAAGACATACAGACAGACTGGTGGCAGGGATCAGATTCGGAGTTTGTTATGAAGTACTTCAAGAATGTGAAATACATGCGCTTCCGTTCAGGTACGAAAATCGCGACTGCAAGCGCGTGTGGAGTGCGGAAATACTACCGCGAAGCCCTTATGTGACAATGGCCAGAAACTTCTGGGCCGTGGGCCGGGCGTCAAAATGAACCTCCACACACAAATGAAAAGGATTAAGAAAGCAAGCATAGTATTCATAGAATTCTGGCTCCCCTGGTTGGAGTGCGCTTGCTCAGTTCGAAGGTCAAGCACTCTGCCCCGGTGAAGCCGGGTCTCCGCGCGCTGGGGCACCAGAGCTCAACAGCTGCTTAAGACTGAACATAATAGTTGTGTTGTGTGCTCATAGTCTCACTAGCATTCTTGCTTGAAGGGGCGTGTCTTTGTTGCTTTGGTCCGCCGGTTCGACAACAAGATTTTGAGTGTGCAGCATGGTTGAGGCTCTACAAGTCTGAGTTCTCAGATGGATTTCTGCAGTGGGCCGGGAGACTTGAAGCTTTCCTTACTGAAACTTTCTAAACGTTTGTTTCTTGAAAGAAACAACCTAATCCCATGCCACTACGCTGAAGTTGCATACCCGATCAGGGCAACCTGGCGCTAAGTATGTAGCAAGAATGCTGAGGTCCTTAGCAAAGAGAAGGAGGGCTGTGTGTTTTGGTTTAAGCCCGGACGAGTTGGAGCCCCAGTTGCATCCGAATACATTGCGACCTCAGTTCTTCTGAAACGATGGAGCGACTTTGGCTTGGAGAATCCATGAGATTTCAGGAGCCCCTAGTAGCTTCTTGTTCCTGGATTCCTAGTAGTAAGTC